GTACCTGGCCACGCTTTAATGCCCACCTGATTATTTTCAAGCCCCTCCTGTCCGTTTCTGTTTGCCTCTCAATGGGAAAACTCCCTCCTGGTTTGGACGGCACCTTTCTTAGATTCTCTAATGACTCTTTTGTTTTGGACCCTGTGTATTTAATCTGCTTGTTAAATTCGTTTGCTTCAGGCAGTAAAATTCTAGATGGTCATGCACATGAAACCTCTAGTGGAGACACTTCCTGTGAGCCAGTGCTGCAGCCTCCTCAAGAGGCCACCTGCTGGAACCCTGCCTTGACCTTGGGTCCCTACTCTGCCCCTACTCGGCTTGAAGAACTCAGCTTCAGCCCTTGCCCAAACCCCTGACAGCAGCCAGGGTTTCCTTAAGTAGAAGGAGGAAATGACAGCCCAGCACTAGAAGCAGGCCAGACTAACTCCATCCCACGGCTCCTTGCCAGCACGTACACACTAACAAAACAGGAGTGTTCTTTCTCTTTGGCAACCAGCCATGTGGCCAGGACTCTTGCTTTTCTAGCTCTCCCTTGGTCCTCATTTTGGCCATCTTTTCCACCATGGGAAACATTTCTAATTTCTCCTTTTATCTTCATAATCATAGTGCTCCTATCCTACCATGTATAATTAACATATTTCAAAAGTCCTCACAGGAGGGAATCACTGCTATATCCCAAGCAATCATGCAAGAACAACACAAGATTGAGATTCAATCAATCCGATCCCAAGTATGGATATCTCATCCGTGTCAGTGCCATGTATCAGCAGGAATTAGCCAGAAAGAAACCGGCACCCCATCTCCTTATCTATACTCAGAGTTAGGATGGATGGGGCAAAGCCATAAGCCTCAGCCATCTTCAATTTCTTGTTAGCCCTGCCTTCTTTCAAGAGACCAGTTCAGCCTTACACCCTGTATTGTTCCCCACCCCACCCCTACATTCTTCCCTAGGTTCGGAAGCCAGTGGGCCAAACTTGAAGAACCAGTATGGAGAAGCTCATCTCTGCCTCTGCCCTCCGCCCCCACTCTTAGCTCACCTGAGATATAAAAAGGCCCAGGCTGCTGGGGTCTGGGCCCTCTGCCATGGGTTCGGGCTATGTACATGCTGGCAATCGGCCAACCTCTGGGAGTATTTTCTCTGAATAAATTCCGTCTAGCTATGGGGAAAAATAATAATAACAAGAAAAGAATTTGCTAATCTTTGGGGACATTGAATTAGATAAAGTTATTGTAGACAAGAAAATAAATAGGAGGCACAAATAGTATCATTATAGAACTAATAAATTAGGAACAGCAAGGAAGAAAAGAGACACCTCAGGGCCGATGTTGTGAAGCAGCAAGTGAAGTCAGCACTTTCAAGTGCCCGTTCTAATGCCATCTGCTCTGCTTCCAACACAGCACCCTACTAATGACTTGGAAAAGTAGTGGAAGATGGCCCCAAGTGCTCTGGGGTCCTGTCACCCATGTTGGAGACCTGGGTAGAGTTCCAGGTTCCTGGTTTTCGCCTAAACCAGCTCTGGCTGTTGCAGCCATTTGGGGAGTGACCAGCAGGTAGAAAATCTCTGTCTCTTTCTTTGTATATGTGTGGATGTGCCTGGCCCCCACCCCCATCCCGTAACTCTACTTTTCAAACAGATAAATCTTTAAGAAAAAAAAAAAAGAGAGAGCGACATCTCTGGAAACTGACCTAAAAAATAAAATTAAAATAAAAACACTAAAATAATTAACAGTAAATGCACTTGGAGGAGGGAAAAAAATTAAAACAATCAAAAACAAAGCCAATATTATGAACAAATACCTATCTATCTTCCTACTCTCCAGAGACATAAAACAGATGAAGATGACCCCAAATATGGAGAATGATTACCTTTAGAGAACTCAAAAACATGGCAAAGAAAGAGTAAGTGTCTGAGACTGTAGTAGAAGACAGTCTCCCCCAAATGCAGAACGAATCGAATCTGCAGCCCTGAAAGAACACTCCGTGTCCCAGGAAATGCTTGTCTGGGACAAACCACAATGAATCATATTCCGATTGTTTCAAAAATCAAGCAAATCTTCAAACAGAAGCAATGGGAAATAATCTAAAAAGGACCAAACATTGTGGAGAATGTTATTTGGATCTCTGAATATTTTGCACAATCCCTCAACCTTAGAAGAGTATTGCTCACACCTGGCTGCACCTGAGGATCCCTAGGGTTTTCACACATTACTCTCCTTCAGGCTGCCACCCCAAGCCAATTAAAACAGAATCTCTCAGGGTGGGCCCAGGCATCAGCAATTCTCAGTGATTCACCAGTGATTCTGAGTGTAGCTGACTGGGAGGCAAGGGGGCTGAAGGGGTGGCTGGGGGACCAGCTGCAGCAGGAGAGCAGCGCCTGGGAGCTTGTTAGAACCGCCAGTTCTCTCGGGGAGGGCGGTTGTCACAGCAGTTGAAGTCCCCGCTTGGGATGCCCACATCCCATGTTGGAGTCCCAGCTGCTCCGCTTCTGACTCAGCTTCCTGCTAATGTGCACAGATGATGACTCTAGTACCTGAGTCCTTACAATCCACATGAGAGACCTGGATGGAGGTCCTGGCTCCTGGCTTCAGCCTGGCCCACCCCTGGCTGTGGTCGGAATCTCTCTCTCTCTCTCTCTCTCTCTCTCTCTCTCTCTCTCTCTCTCTCTTTCTCAAAAGCCAGTTCTCAAAGCCACTGCAGCCCCCACAGGGATCTGATTGGATATTAAGCTCTCCAGGAGCTTTGGATGCATGCTTTAGTTTGAAGAGCCGGGCAGGGGACTTGTGTAGCAAAGACTACATCTAGAGATGTCTAAACAGATCCAAACACAGGTTTACAATACATGATTCTTTTTTTTTTTTTTTTTTTTTGACAGCAGAGTGGACAGTGAGAGAGAGAGAGACAGAGAGAAAGGTCCTCCTTTGCTGTTGGTTCACCCTCCAATGGCGGCTGCGGCCGGTGCGCTGCGGCCGGCGCACCATGCTGATCCGAAGGCAGGAGCCAGGTGCTTCTCCTGGTCTCCCATGCGGGTGCAGGACCCAAGCACTTGGGCCATCCTCCACTGCACTCCCTGGCCACAGCAGAGAGCTGGCCTGGAAGAGGGGCAACCAGGACAGAATCCGGTGCCCCGACCAGGACTAGAACCCGGTGTGCCTACACCGCTACGCGGAGGATTAGCCTGTTGAGCCGCGGCGCCGGCTAATACATGATTCTTTAAATTAACATTTGAACTTAAACAAGGTCCTTCATTTTACTGAGGTTGCTTTTTCTCAGAGTAAAAATTGAGTTGAGTCATTTTAAATATGGCATGGATAGAATGAACCCATTGCAGCAAGTTTTTCTCTAGCTCTCTGCGCTGATGCAGAGGAAGATGTCCACCTGATGTTGCTTCTGAGTGGTGAGATTTGAAGTGCTTTTAAGACTTTCTTTTTGTACTTATCCACTTTGTTGAAATTCCTAAAAAGGCATATTATCTTTTCCGAAAGTACTAACGTGCTTTTTTTAATTTAACAGAACCAAACTTTCTCATGCATTATTTTTGACCAGGATGATCAGGATCTGTGCACCATTTCACCCCAACCAAACTCACAGAACAGTGATGCATAACTAACATGGCCTTTCCCCTGTTGTCTTCAGAGAGGGCATCTGCTTCTCTGTGGACAGAGACACTCGGGAGGCTACTCTCTGTTCTTGGGCTCCACGAGCAGAGAATTAAAGAAAACGAGTGAGTCTTGTTAGGAAATTTCTTTGAAACTATCATGGACTAGTGATTTGTCCTTCACTGCGGTAATAACTCTTTGTAAAGAATGGTTTTCTCAGCCTAAAATCAGGACTCCATCAACCCATCCCAAATATTTATCATAAGGCACAGTTTCTCATGGTTATGATTGATACTGCTTACACTGGAGGAACTTCCACATCACAAATACCAAACGCTCATTTCTGGCAAGATCGTCTTCAATCCCATCCGTGCAAAGCCGCAATTTCAGAAGTCAGGCTTCTCGGCCGGCCTCTAAATCTTTGCTTTATCTCACCTAGGCATGATCTGAGCCTTCTGTTGACTAAGCACATACTGGTTTTTCTAAGAGCTGCAGAGGATAAAGGAGTAAACCTCTCATAAGGCGGTACAGCCTGTGGGCTTTCTTTTAAAAGAAAAAATATTTAATGAAAGACAAAAGTTAAAGTAAATTCAACCTCAAGGCTAGAAGGGTGATTAATTTTGTCAGCACATCTCATTTATTAAAAAGAAATAAACATTCCATAAACATTCCACTTCTTTGTTAAATTGGCCTGAGTTGGACTTTTTCATAGGGGAGTCTGGCGGGGCAGAGAGAGCACACCCAATTATCCATGGACAAGATCCCAGCTGCCTACTCTGCTAGTGAAACTGTTCCATGATGTGTTAATGTCAGGAACTTGGACTGGCTTTGTGGCGTAGCCTGTGACACTGGCATCCCATATGGGTGCGGATTTGAGTGCTAGCTGTTCCACTTCCGATCCAGCTCCCTGCCAATGGCCTGGGAAAGCAGCAGAAGATGGCCCAAGTACTTGGGCCCTTGCCACCCATGTGGGAGGCCTGGATGGAGTTCCAGGCTCCTGGCTTCAGCCTGGTCCAGCCCTGGCCATTGCAACCACTTGGGGAGTGAACCAGTGCATGGAAGATCTCCCTTTCTCTGTCTCTCCCTCTCTCTCCATAACTATGCCTTTCAAATAAATCTTTAAAAGTAAATAACTCAGGAACCCAAGTCGGTATTAACATATTTTTGTCTGTGGAAGTACTATCCTGCCCTAAACTTAAGTAATTAAATCATGATTTTACACACACACACACACACACACACACACATATATATGTAGCAACCAATTTTAAGGTTTCAAAAATCATTATTCCATGGAGTTTATGTATATGAGATTTAAATATAACTAATGTACATAAAATATTTTCCCATAAACCATAATGTAAACTGCTTTGAAATCTTAACAAAACACAAATGATTCCATATATAACACAAAATATTTATTTCCTATTTACATTTCCATTTTCATATAAAGCAGTTTGGTGCATCATACCACATATCAAAAAAAAAGGAAAAGAAAAGAAACATAACTCTTAGCAAGCAGTGAAGGAGTCCTACTGCGTGCTGTCAGCAGTCTCGTAGCTCTTGTCGCTTGCCTTTTTTGGATTTTCTGGTTGTTTCCTGACGAATGGTGTCATATTCCATTATGGCCATTTTTGAAAGTCTCTCTAAGTATTGAGATGGTGCGCCAGTGAGAGGGTCACTGAAGGCAGAGCCTGGGTGGGGAGGAGGAGAAGTGTAGCTATTGAAATCACAAAGTTAAATCAAGGACACGTGAGTAATACTCATTCTAGAAAACACAGAGTAACAGAGTTATCCCACAAATGACTTTTCAACTGTGCTAGTTCTTCATGTTTAGCAACACCAATGGTTACCTTCTTAAATGATCCAATACAGCACCCTACTAATGACTCGGAAAAGTAAATGATCATGACTATAATGCCAAGTCTAAAAAAAGTATCTAAAACTGTATCTACCTGCTGGTCACTCCCCAAATGGCTGCAACGGCCAGAGCTGGTTCAGGTGAAAACCAGGAACCTGGAACTCTACCCAGGTCTCCAACATGGTGACAGGACCCCAGAGCACTTGGGGCCATCTCCCACGTGGGTGCAGGGGCCCAAGGACCTGGGCCATCCTCCACTGCCTTCCCGGGCCACAGCAGAGAGCTGGACTGGAAGGGGAGTAACCAGGAAAGGATCCGGCACCCCGACCGGGACTAGAACCCGGTGTGCCAGTGCCGCAAGGTGGAGGATTAGTCTAGTGAGCCTCGGCACCAGCCGTGCTTGTGTTTTAAAAACAAACAAAAATTTTAAAAGTTAAAAAAAAAGTTTTAATTTAAAAAAACTGATAATGATATAAAAACATTTTGTATAGCTATACAATGTGAGGGTTTGTTTTTTGTTGTTGTTGTTGTTGTTGTTGTTGTTTTTTAGATTTACTTATTTATTTGAAAGTCAGAGTTACAGAGAGGCAGAGGCAGAGAGAAAGAGGTCTTCTGTCTGCTGGTTCACTCCCCAAATGGCTGCAGCAGCCAGAGCTGGGCCTATCCGAAGCCAGGAGCCAGGAGCTTCTTCTGGGTCTTACACACAGGTGCAGGGGCCCAAGGACTTGGGTCAATTTCCACTGCTTTCCCAAGCACATTAGCAGGGAGATGGATTGGAAGTGGACAGCTGGGTCTCAAACCAGTATCCCACGTGGGATGGTGGTGTTGCAGGCAGTGACTTTACCCACTATGCCACAACGCTGGCCCCTGTGTTTGTGTTTTAGGCTAAATGTTATTACAAAAGAGGCAAAAAAAATTTAAAAATATAAAAGTTTATAAATTAGTCACAGTAAGCCATTAATGTATTATTATTGAAGATAAACTTTTTCTAAAGATGTGTTTATTTATTTGAAAGAGTTACAGAGAGAGAAGGAGAAACACTAAGAGAGGTCTTCTATCTGCTGGTTTATTCCCCAAGTGGCCGCAAGAACCAATGCCGGACCAGGCCAAAGCCAGGAGCCAGGAACTTCTTCTGGGTCTCCACACATGTGTAGCAGGAACGCAAGCACCTGGGCCATCCTCCGCTGCTTTCCCAGGCCATTAGCAGGGAGCTGGATTGGAAGCAGAGTAACCAGGACATGAACTGACACTCACATGGGATGCTGGTGTCACAGGCAGTGGCTTAACCCACTACACCACAAAGCCAGCCCCAAAAGAAAAGTTTTGAATCAGTGTAGTGTAGCCCAAGTGTACGGTGTTGATGAAGTCTGCAGCGGTGCACAGCAAAGCCCTAGACCTGTACATTCACTCGCCACTCACTTACCCACTTGCCCGGCGCAGCTTCCACTCCTGCAAGCGCCAGTCATGCTAAGCGCTCCACGCAAATATACCACTTTCCATCCTTTATACAGCAGCTTCACTGCACTTAGGTTCACAAATGCTTACCATTGTATCACGATCGCCTGCACTATTTAGTTCAGTAACATGGTAGCCGAGAAGCTTATGTTAGTCTAGGTGTGTAGTAGACCACACCATCTAGATGTGTGTAAGTATACTCTATGATGTTCACGTATGTCTCACCTGAGGAGACATTGCTTACTTTTTTAGTGTGGATTTTCCTTGTTTTTGTTTTTGTTTTTGTAGCTAGCATGCGTTTCTTAGAATGTGTCCCCATTGTTAAGTGACTCACAAGTGAATGTACCGATACTTTTCTTTAGAAACATAGGGCTTTGAAAATACTATACCGACTCCAATTGTTTTAAAATACTATTGTTTAACTTCAAGTATCAGAAATACTGTCTTCAGTTCTCCAATGTGGTTGTCATTTTCTATTTTTTTTTTGTTTGTGGGTGCAGAGTGAGAAGTCATGAGAATTAAGAACGCTTGTATGATGAGGATTCCTGTTCTTAGCAGTACAATGGACCTAATACTTTAGGAGACCCTTTGGCAGCAAAATTATGCATTTCCAGGAATCAAGCTAATCTGAAAAACTTTAAAGAATCAGTACAATACAGACAATTGCAATTAAGTTGAAGTTGTTGGCAATAAGATAAAAAAATTATCAAATGCTTAGTAATTTATGTACATATTCTAAATTATTCATCAATCAAAAAAGAAATGATAATAGACACTAGAAATATGTGTACATAAACAATAAAGAAAAATCAAAAAATGTGTGCAGAACAGCAAAAGTTGTACATTTAGAAGTGTATACCCTAAAAATTCCATATATATGTATATATATATATATATACACACACGCATATATGTGTATGTTTGTAGAAAATAAAATTAAAAGACTCTGGTGCAAAAAAATTTTGAAATCCATGCAATTTTTTTTCGCAATATACATTTGCTATGAATGTCCTGAGACCTGTTGTTCATCAGGAAAATAATAAATACTAAGAAAATAGAAGAAAAAAGTAATATCACAAAGATGAAAAATCAAGTAGAAAACAGTATGAAAATAAAGAAGAACTTTTAAAAAGACAAAAGTTCTTCCTTGAAAAGACTGACAGGAAGGAAAATCTCTGGTGAGATTAATAAAGAAATAAAAAAGGTAAAAATATATGACACTAGGAAAAGAAGTAAAACTAAGCAAACCTTCTGCCACTAAGTCTGGAAAGAAAAAAGGCAAATATTTTTGGAAAACACAACTTACCAAAATTGATTGAAGGATGAGAACGCCTTAAGAGTCCTAAAATTAAAATGATTGGCGGGGGGAGAAATGATTGAATCAGAGTCAGACAATTTCCCCCCAAAAAACAAATAACCCAGATGACTTTATAAATCAGTTCTCTCAGTCTTTCCAGGAAGCGAGCACTCCAATTTTAGACTGTATCTTTCAGAGACAGAAGGACCAGGAATACTCCCCAGTCCATTCCATGAGACCACTACAATCTTAACACTCCATCTATCCAGACAAGGACAGAACTAAGAGCAACATGTATGACAATCTCATGCACAAACATAGATTTTTTTTTTAAATCTCAAATAAAACATTGCCTAATTAAATATAGCAGTACGTAAAATAGTAAGTCAGGCCTAAGCTGGTTGGTCCCATGAAAGCAAGAGCAGCTTAACATGACAAAATCTGTTAACTGTTGTTCTTCACATTGAAAACATAGGATATCTTAAACAATACATCAAAATCATTTGATAAAATTCCATTCTCATTTATGAAAAAAAAACTCTTAGTGAATTAAAGAGAACTTCTTTAACTTAATAAAAGATATCTACTCAAAACCTAAAGCAAGCATCCTTCATTCTTCAAAGACTTATTTATTTGAAAGACAAAGCGACATACACAGAGAAAGGAAGACACATACAGAGAGAGATCTTCCATCTGCTGGTTCACTCCCCAAACAGCCACAACAGCCAGGACAGGGCCAAGCAGGAGCCAGGAACCTGGAACTTTTCTCCCACATGGGAAACAAGGGCCCAAGTACTTGGGCTATCATCTGCTGCCTTCCCAGAAGGGAGTTGGATCAGAAACAGAGCAGCCAGAACTCAAACCAGTACTCTGACATGGGATACTGGCATCACAAGCGGCAGTTTAACCTGCTGCACCGCAATGCTGGCCCCACAAGATCATTCTTTCTTTCTTTCTTTTTAAAGATTTTATTTATTTATTTATTTATTTATTTATTTGAGAGACAAAGAGAGAAAGAGGTCTTTCATTCACTGATCTATTCCCCGAATGACCACAATTGCTAGGGCTGGGCCAGGCAGAGGCCAGGAGCCAAGAACTCCATCTGGGTCTCCCATGCAGGTGGTAGAGGCCCAAGTACTTGAGTGATTCTCTGCTTCTTTCCCAGGCACATTAGCAGGGAGCTGGATCAGAAGCAGAGCAGCCAAGATTCAAACTAATACTCCTAAATGGGATGCTGGTGTCACAAGCAGCAGTCTAATCCACTGTGCTAGAATTCTGGGTCCAAAAAATAATTTCTTTTAATTTTATATTTTTGAGAGGCAGAGATGGGAGGAGAGACACAGACAGAAATATAGATACAGACACAGAGAGAGACATTTCCCATCTACAAGTTTATTCCCCTATAGGCCACTATGGCCAGGACTGAGCTATGCTGAAGCCAGGAGCTGAGAACTCAGTTCAAGTTTCCCACATGGGTGGCAGGAACTCAATCGTTTGAGCCACCATTGCAGCCTCCCAGGGTCTGTCTTAGCAGAAAGCTGGAGTCAGAAGCCAGAGTTGGGAATCAAACACAGATACTCTGATGTGGAATGCAGGCATGTCTATCACTGGGCTAACACCCATTCCCTCAAGTATCATTCTTAATGATAATAAGTCAAAGATGCCCACCATTCCTTCTTATTTTACATTGCATTTGTGTTTCCAGTCAGCTTAGTAAAATGATAAAAATTAGGGGATAGGGTTTGGAAAGGAAGAAACAAAACTGACATTATTGACAAATGAGTATGATAACCTGCATAGGCAATCCAAAATAACCTATATGTTAATTAAGAAAGAGTAAGAATATTTGGCACAGTGGTTAAGCTGTCACTTGGGATGCCTGCATCTCATACCAGAGTGCCAAGGTTTGAGTACCAATTCCATTTCCAATTCCAGCTTCCTGTTAATGTGCACTCAGAAGGCAGCACATAATGGCTAAAGTATTTGGGTCCCTGCCACCCACACGAGAGATGCAGACTGATTTCAGGCTCCTTGGTGAGATGTGGCTATTTCTAGCTTTTGGAGAGTAAACCAGTGGATGGGAGATCTCACTCTGTCTGTCCTTGTCTTTGTCTCTCTGCCTTTCAAATAAAAATTAAATTTTAAAATTCTTAAAGAAATACCTATGTGGAAACTATAAGATCAAAATACGTGTAATAGAAAGTTAAAATTTTAATTTAGAAAGAGAACTGTGGCAAACTACTAATCATTTTCCCAGAATTTTTTTTATCTCCTTTCTCCATTACTGAAGTTTGGCTAAGCACATTGTCATTCAGGTTTAGATTAGATTTCTCAGCTAGTGCTTCAGAGCTAACCATAGCTTAGTTACCAATTTACTAACAGAAATAAATTTCTATAGTTTATGAGCTACCCAGTTCATGGTTTCTTGTTCTAACAGCCCAAGCAGACGAAGCCATCTGAATCATTTGTGGGTCAGCTTCTATTATCTGTTTCTTCTCTTGGCTTTTGTTGTCCTTCTATGCCAGGTAAGTTTTGACTGAATGCTAGACGCTGCATATGGAAACCTGTAAGGCTCTTATTCATCATACAGACCTCCAGAGAGAATCTTATTTCCTTCTGGAAGGCAGACCACTTTAATTCAGTCAAGACTAGGCTTTGGGCTTTTTTTTTAAAGTGATTCTATTCTTGATGTGCCTCTCTTCATACACAACCTCTTCAAGAGTTGCAACTGAAAACCTGGTGTTTACCAAGGGTGTTCCAGCTTGGCAGGCTTTAAACTGTCTCCTCTGTCGCTGCAGCAAATGCTAAGTTACTGAAATCTCTGCTTAGTTCTTTAGCCTCCAAGAAGCTGATTTCTGCTTTATCTCTTGAAATACTGTCTAGCACGCATGCCACTTGGGAACAAACACGTGGAGGGAAAATGGCTCACAGAATGTTGGGCTCTCAGGTCCTCTCTGTTGATCATGTTGCTGTGATAGAAGCTATTCCATCAGAGCCGGGGTGGAGGCTCTCAGGGTGAATTTTTTTTAAGGTGTAACTATTGAAATAATTGATGGATGCCACAATGATCCTTCAGAAAGTAAAATCATATTAATCATTCTTTTGTTAAAAGAATTCAGTGGCTCTTCATTTCAATGAGTCAGGTAGCAAGTCCTTATGAAGGCCCCACGTGATCAGACACTCTATCAGTTCTCTTTTCTCATCTCCAGCTAAGCCATACTGGACTCCTGATATTCTTCCAGCAGGCTGGGCCCCATCCTACCTTGGGTCCTTTGCTGGTCCCAAGAGAATAACTTAAATCCCTCACCTCCTTCCTCATTGCCCAATGACTACCTTGTCAGTTAAACCTATGCTGACCACCCTATTAAAATTATAAAACTCCCTTTTCTGCCAGATCCCCTGATTTCTCTTATCCTGCTCTATCTCTGTTGTTTCTATCATACTCATGTACTCTTTGATATCTAAGTTAAACAGCCCTTATCTAAATTTCTTGGGACCAGAACTGTTTGGGAATATTTTTTTTTATTTTGGAATATTTTCACACACACCAAGATTTCTTGGGGATGTGACCCAAGTGTTAAAAAATTATTTATATTTCATAAGCACCTCATACACATAGTCTGAAGGCAATTTAATATACAATATTCTTAGTACATCTGCATTTTGATTGCAACCCCTCACATGACATTAGATGTGGAATTTTCCACTTGTGGAATGATGTTGGTACTCAAAAAGCTTCAGATTTGGAAGAATTTCAGATTTCTGGGTTGGGAATATTCAATCTCTTCTATATGGTGTACTCACTAATTATATTTAGCATTTGTTGGCTGTATTCTCTCACTGGAATGTAAATGCCACAAGGCCGGGGATGTTTGTCCTACTCAGGAATGTGTCCCTAAGTTCAAGTGCTTAGAACAATGCCTGGCACATAGTAGACACTCAATTCATATTTAGTAAATAATGAAATAAAACTGCCGTTTCACGTGAGCTTAAAGGAAAAGAATTTTCAACAAGTATTTAATAACGACTCAATCTGTTACATAAATTGATATAGGTATTGCAAGAGATATAGAGGTGAAATAGACACCTCACCTGTGTCAGCCTTCCTGCCAGTACCAAAAATAAATAAATAAATAAATAACAAAACAAAAAAACTTCTACTGGGTAACTGATAAACAACAGAAACTTATTTCTCACAATCTGGAGATGAAAATTCCAAGAGCAAGGTACTAGAAGATTCAGTGACTGGAGAAAATTATTGTCTACTTCCAAGATAGCACCTGCAGCTGTGTCCTCACATGGTGGAAGGCGGAAGGGCAAAACGGGGACACACACTTTGTCCTCAGAGAGCAGGAGAGAGGGAAAGGGAAAAGGTCAAAAGGGGACAACTGCTGTGTCCTCTTGTGATGGAACAGATGGAAGGGCATTGGGCTTACCTGTCAATCTCTTTAAAAAAAAAAAAAGATTTATTTATTTGAAAGGCAGAGTTACAGAGAGGCAGAGAGAGAGAGAGGTTGGTCTTCTATCCACTGGTTCACTCCCCAGATGGCCACAATGAAGCCAGGAACCAGGAGCCTCCTCCAGGTCTCCCACATGGGTACAGGGACCCAAAGACTTGGGCCATCTTCTACTGCTTTCCCAGGCCATAGCAGAGAGCTGGATCAGAAGTGGAACAGCTGGGACTTGAACTAGCGTCCATATGGGATGCCGGCACTGCAGGCAGCAGCTTTACCAGCTATGCCACAGTGCCAGCCTTGTCAATCTCTTTTTATAACAGCACTTATCCATCCATAAGGGTGGAGTCCTCACTTGCTTCCCCAAAAGCCCCACTTCTTATCACATTAGGAATTAGGTTCCAATATGTGAGTTTTGGAGGAGCATATACATTCAAATCACAGCAGTACTCATTCTGAAAGACCCAAAAAAATGAACTACTAGAAAATAGGCAACTAATTAGCATTCATATTTTTATTTCAATTTAGTTTATTTTTAATTTCTTTTTTAGATTTATTTATTTATTTGTAAAGGCAGAACAAGAGAGAGAGACAGAGAGAGAGAGAGAGAGAGAGAGAGATCTTCCATTCACTGATTCACTTCCTAAATGGCAACAACAGCAAGGTCAATACCAGGCCATAGCCAGGAGCCAGGAACTCCATCCTGATCTCCCACAAGGGTGGCAGGGACCCAAGTACTTGTGCCATCTTCCACTGCCTTCCCAGGTGCTTTAGCTGGATAGGAAGTGGAACAGCGGACTTGATAGGAAGTGGAACAGCGGGACTTGAACAGGTGCTCCGAAATGGGATGCTGGCATCAAAGACAGCAGCTTAACCCACAGCACCACAATGTCAGCCCCTATACTTTTGTTTTATGCTGCCTGTTGTCTATAAAATATGGAAATTCAGAGAAAGAATATATCCAATGAAAAGTCCATGAACATTTAGATCTTATGAACTTTCAAAGATTGAACTTGCAAAGCTACTATCAAGTCAATACTACTATCTTAAATTTTTTTTTAATTTGAGAGGCAGAAAGAGATGGAAGGGGGCGGGGGAGTCACATCCACTGGTTAACTTCTTGTGCCCACAATGGTCAGAACTGGGCTGGCCAAAGCAAGGAGCCAGGAATTCAAACACATGTCTCCAATGTAGCAGGAAGCCAATCACTTAAGTTATCACCACTGCCCCCCAGGGTCCACATTAGCAGGAAGCTGGAGTTGGATATCAGAGTCAGGTACTCCAACATAGGATATGGGCATCTTAACTGTCATCTTAACCACTAGGCTACATGCCCACCCCCCAGTCAATTCTGACTGCTACCAACAGTGTAAATAGGGGCCTTACTTGGTAATTTTTTTTTTTTTTTTTTTGACAGGCAGAGTGGATAGTGAGAGAGAGACAGAGAGAAAGGTCTTCCTTTGCTGTTGGTTCACCCTCCAATGGCTGCCGCGGCCGGCGCACTGCAGCTGGCGCACCACGCTGATCCGCTGGCAGGAGCCAGGTGCTTCCTCCTGGTCTCCCATGGGGTGCAGGGCCCAAGCACCTGGGCCATCCTCCACTGCACTCCCTGGCCACAGCAGAGAGCTGGCCTGGAAGAGGGGCAACCGGGACAGAATCCGTGCCCCAACCGGGACTAGAACCCGGTGTGCTGGCGCTGCAAGGCAGAGGATTAGCCTAGTGAGCCGTGGCGCCGGCCTAAAGGTAATTTCAATTTTTATTATTTTTTGAAGTGATAAACGCACCAAGAGAAGACTACTATGATTATGATAAAAATAAAACAAAAGTAAGGTTTTAAAAATCTTAAACTTAAAAACTAATCTTAAAAAAATCTCAAACAGAAACAATTTCTGCACATAGGAAAGAATGAGGGGCCAGCATTGTGGCATAGTGGGTAAAGCTGCCTCCTGTGACACCAGCACCCAATATGGGTGTCAGTTCATGTTCCAGATGTTGCACTTCTGATCCAGCGCCCTGCTAATGGCCTGGGAAAAGCAGTGGAAAATGGCTCAAGTGTTAGGGCCCCTGCACCCACAAGGGAAACCTGGAAGAAGCTCCTGGCTCCTGGGTTTGGCCTGGCCCAGCCCCAGCCAATGTAGCCATCTGGGAGGTGAACCAGTAGATGGAAGACCTCTTTCTCTCTCTCTCTCTCTTTCTGTAACTCTGTCTCTCAAAGAAATAAATCTTTTAAAAAATAAAAACATTTTAAAATTTTTAAACAAAGAATGACCACTTGATAATCTGTAGGACAACTAGCAAGTAACAAATCATGTTAAAGATGTTATGTTTAAACCAATGTTTTCTCAACAGGGGGTGATTTTACTACCCTGGGAACATTTGGCAATATCTGGACGCCCTTTCTGGCTTTCACAACTGGGATGTGCTAGTGGTATGTTGTGGGTAGAGGCCATGGGTGCTGTTAGACATCCTACAATGCACAGGCTAGATTCCCCCCAACAAAGAATTATCTGGTCCAAAATATTAATACTGACACTTGAAAAATCCTGGCTTAGATGATAATCAACAAAAGACAAGGTAGATAAGATGAGAAAACACAGGTGATAAAATGGAAATCTTTTCACTATACAGCCCAAGAACCTTTACCATTAAACTTGAGTTAAATTACAACAGGAAATGGCTGAGTTTCCTGTAGAAATGAAGTCCTAGACAAATGCAGTATATCACATACGATCTATGATTCCCTTGGTCTAATGCCCCAGTGAGTCTGTGACACATTAACACAAGGGATGAGGCAGTGAATGTAGCTCTCAATCTAGGAAATTCTCTAAAATCCATACACATCACAAAAGGTAAAATCATCTATCCCAATAGATTTTTCCCTGTCTACTTTAGGAAAACAATATTTTGATTAGATATGTCAGAAATGTAGAGGTGAGACTGCCTGATTTTAAAGCTGGGGTGGGCATTTGGAGCAGCAGTTAAGAGGACACTTGGAATGCCTGCATTCCATGTTAAAGTGCCTGCACTTCACTCCCAGAGTGAATTCCAATTCCAGCTTCCTGCTAATGCACACTCTGGGAGGCAGCCATGATGGCTCAAGTACTTCAGTTCCTGCTGCTCATGTGGGAGGCCTGGATTGAGTTTTGGCCTCCTGGCTTTGGCCTGGCCCAGCCCCAGATATTGCGGGCATTTGGGGAGTGAGCCAACACAAGATTCCCTCCCCCCACCTCCTTTGCAATTTTTTTTTTTTAATTTGACCATAGAACAAACATCTAAAAATGGTAGAATGGTAGAAAGAAACACACCAAGGTGCCTTACAAACCCTCTTCAGTCACTATGGACTTAGGAATAAAGTGACTTAAAAGTAGTTTTTTGAGACCCAACTGTTGGTATATACATAAGTTTCTGTATTTGGATGTCTTAATGCACAGGATTCACACACACATACACACACACAAACAAATAAAACTGGAAAATGAGGCTAGAAAGGAAAGTTAGAGAAAGATGATAAAGTGTTCAATGCCAGACTAAGGAGTTTGTACTTTAAGACTGGGGTAATGAGGATTATTTGGTTTTCAAGATGGGAGTAACATGATTAAAGGTCAAGGTTTTAGACTCTAGTCGTGGTGTTACAGGATTCCAAAGGTCAGAGACTCTAAACAGGAACACCAGTTTGCAGGCTACTGAAATGGCCCAAGCAAGAGCCAGTAAGGGTCTGTTCCAGAGTCCTGAGATTACAGAGATGTGCATATATAATGAATACACACCCATTAGATTTACAAAATAAATAAAGTTGAAGACGGTAGTAACAAAACAGACATTTCTATTAATGAAAAGAAAGTAAAAAAAAAAAAAAGACAACTAGGTGACATGTTGACAAACAAGTGGTAGGGCTAAAAGGTCAGCTGGCTTACCTTTTGATCTCTCCTGAAGTGGTCCCATGGTGCATGTCTCCTTAGTCTTCTTTATCCTAAGATTACATATTATCTTAAAATCACTTGAATATGAATCCAGGGTCCATTAGTTTTAAGGGATACAAAAGGGGCAAGCAACAAACTTTCAGTGAAACTCATCTGTTGAATAGTATCACATGAAATAAATGTGAAAGAAAGAAAGTGCCTTCCATCACAGTTAATCCAATCAGAAGCAGATATGCACCAACCCAGTACTTTGGTTGTTAGGAAACTGGACCAGTGGATGAGTGCTGAATGTAACTTACCCCACAGCATAACTCAGGCAATACTAACAGGAAGGCAATCAAGATTAGTAAATAACTGGATATTGCCTACCAAAGATCACTGCTTGTGTATTTTTTATCCATCACCCTCTACAATCTGAATTTTGTCACAATTAACTTTTGCTCCTGCTGGAGTACACCTAGACTAGATTTTAGGGTCAATACATCATGATTGAGTCTGCTGTGGGTGAGATAATTCACTGTAAGAACTCCAAACATCCTACAACCTTATTAAAATTTAAAACTCAGCAGCAGTTATCGAACAGTCTTCACCTATACGATTGCTATCAGCAGTTATATTACCAGGGCATACTTGGAGATTCATTGGACAGTTTTTATTACTGTTAAAGACATTGGGAGAAATATTACACTTTTATAGGAATCTTTAAATCAAGTATCTACATATAGAGGGGGAATAATGGAGGATAAAGTGTTGTAAATAAAGCAAACAAAAATGAATACTTCCCTGTTTTGCCAAGGCTGTTCTTTCACAGGGCATTGTGCAACACGCAGAGGAGAATAAAATACTGGCAGGTAACTTTGTACCTTCTCACCAGAAGGGCTAAAATAAAGAGACTTGTATCAAAGGCAGGAAAAAAGAACCAATATTTAGATTGCCAAACACTTCATAGAGATTATGTTACTTAGTCACCACTATTCTACTTTATGTGTGAAGAGCACTTGCCAATAGGTATGTAAAATGTATTCAGATTATCCTTCACTGACTTAAGTAAATTCACACTCATGTTAACTTGAAATGTTTCAGAGTAATTTCACAAACAGATAAACCACAATGAGAAACAAAAAAAATTGAGATGGGTGGAAACAGTAGGAAGCAAAAATGATGACTCAAAACTAAGGGGCGGCCTGTGCCTCAGCTCAATAAGCTAATCCTCCGTCTTCGGCGCCGGCACCCTGGGTTCTAGTCCCAGTCGGGGCGCCAGATTCTGTCCTGGTTGCTCCTCTTCCAGTCCAGCTCTCTGCTGTGGTCCGGGAGTACAGTGGAGGATGGCCCAAGTGCTTGGACCCTGCATCTGCGTGAGAGACCAGGAGAAGCACCTGGCTCCTGGTTTCTGATCAGCGCGGTGCGCCGGACGCAGCGCACCGGCTGCAGCGGCCATTGTGGGGTGAACCAACGGAAAAAGGACGACCTTTCTCTCTGTCTCTCTCTCTCACTGTCCACTCTGCCTGTAAAAAAAAAAAAAAAAAAAAAACTAAGGGGCAAAATGGGCTAATACAGAGTGCTTTCCAGTTCCCAGGTTCTTTAAGATGATCAAGTATATTGAAGAACGGCAACAAGACTGATCTGTACTGATACAAAGTTCATTGCCACAAGCAGCCCTACACATTCTACTCCCACACTCTCCAAATTGTACTGTGACCCCTGATGACAATGACAAGAGTAAGTTGTGAGGGTCAGGGACTTTAAACCTTCAATGCTTAGTAGTAGGTTTTATATTCCTGTTTCAATGATCCCTCCTCTGTCTGCATCCCTGCCATCCCTCCACTTTGACTTTGGCTACCATCTGCTCTATTAGTAACTACTATCTCTCTTCCACCACCACTGATTCCAGCTTGTCTCATTATAATTGTATTTCAGAAAGAGTTGCTTTTTACTTTTTTTTTTTTTTTTTTTTTTTTTTGGACAGGCAGAGTGGACAGTGAGAGAGAGAGAGAGACAGAGAGAAAGGTCTTCCTTTTGCCGTTGGTTCACCCTCCAATGGCCGCCGCGGCCGGCGTGCTACGGCTGGCGCACCGCGCTGATCCGATGGCAGGAGCCAGGTACTTATCCTGGTCTCCCATGGGGTGCAGGGCCCAAGGACTTGGGCCATCCTCCACTGCACTCCCTGGCCACAGCAGAGAGCTGGCCTGGAAGAGGGGCAACCAGGACAGAATCCGGCGCCCCGACCGGGACTAGAACCCCTTGTGCCGGCGCCGCAAGGCGGAAGATTAGCCTAGTGAGCCGCGGCGCCGGCCCTGCTTTTTACATTTTTATAGCTTGAAAATCTGTCTTCAGATTATATGAAATATGGTGAGCAAGGCTGTTCAAATGATATTATTTGTTGTGGTGCCATTTACACAACCTCAAAAGTCAATGATAAGATAATCTATGGATCCATCAATGAAATATGAGGGGCCTTCACAAAATTCATGGGAAATATATATTATGAAAAAAACTATGCATGGATCTCAACATTTTTTCCACCAAAATTTTTTTGCCATAAAACTTATACTACCTCATTGTAATAGAACTGAGCAGGATCTAGTTTGAGACATTAAAAATATTAAGACATCAGTTTGTAAAGATGGTAATTTTCTGGCAGCCTTTCCTGGATGAATAAATCATTCCTGATAATCAAGGCAAGGGCTTAATTAGGCTGACATCTTATTCAAAATCTTCCTTCACTCTAATTCAGTTTGACTAGAAATAAAAGACAAGTTTCTATAGCCAGGGTACACACAACTGATAACATAGCAGAGTTGGTTGTTTCATTTTTAAAAGTTCCAGAACTCTCATGGAAATTACCTAACCTAGGGCAATCACGATTGTTAAAAGAAAATCCTCAAGTCCTTCCTGCCAATGTCACTTGAAGACAGAGAAAAGTGCCCACTTTTTCAAACTGAATAAAATGGCTAACTTGGAATCCAAATCAGTAGGCAAGGAAGAATTCCATGCACTAGCCAGAGAAACTTCCTCATTCAGCAGTATTACCACAGATAATATTCCACAAAGAAAGTTGAATAGCAGCCATCTACCTGAGTGTGGGCATTTCTGTGTCCGCTCGCAGCAGCCTTTTATGAACCTCTAGTGGAGTTGAATTTACACGTTTTTGGCAACTTGGAAATCTTGGTAAATATGGCATTTTGACACCTTCTTTGAACTCTTGTAGACCAAATGCTGTGGTGTATTCTAGTTGAAATATTATCATATTGTCTTGGTTAAATGAATACTTTTTTTTACTACATGCTAAAACATATAATAAAACATACTACATCAGTCATCAAGAAAATTAGTGAACTGTAAACCTTCTAGCATCCTTCCTAGGAGAATGCCTTCCGGTTCCTACCACAGGGCCTGTAGGCAGGAGCTGACTTAGAATTAGAATAAGGACAAAGCGCAGCTCCACAGATCTTCCACAGCCATCAGCATCCTCTGCCTCCTTCATTTAACTTAATCAGAATTGCCATGGTATTAGATGCATTCACACCGAAATAAAAATCACTTTCAAGAATCCTATCTACTATTTTGAGTCTTTCTACCATCTTATTTTTATGTAAATAATCATGAAATATGAATATATAATCATTTGAGCTGACAAAATGATACAAAAAGTTCTACTTCAGGCATTGATTTTCATTTTTTCTCCACAAAATTCCATATAAAATTAATAAACAGCAAAACTGAAGCATCAAGATTGCTTCTTCTACAGACCTCACATATCATTAGACAAAAGGATTGCTGAAATGTAATACACACACAGACACACACACTCAATGTCCAGTGTTGTGACACAGCAGGTTAAACCTTGGAACCACGTTTTGCATCCTGTTTGACCCACTTCTGATCCAGCTCCATGCTAACATGCCTGGGAAAGGAACAAAAGATGGCCCAGGTTCTCTGGCCCCTGCTACCCACTCGGGAGATGTGGGTGGAGTTCCAGGCTCCTGGCTTCCACCTGGCCCAGCCCAAGTTGTTGTGGCAATTTGGGGAGTGAACCAGGGGGCAAAAGATATCTTCCTTTCTCTGTCACTCTGCCTTTCTTTTCTTTTTAATGATTTATTTATTTGAAGGACAGAGCTATAGAAAGAGAAGAAGAGAGAGACAGAGAAAGATTTTCCGTCTGCTAGTTCACTCCCCAAATAGCCATAATGGCCAGGGCTGGGCCAGACAGAAGCCAGGAGCCAGAAGTTTCATCCAGGTCTCCCAAGCTGGTGGCAGGGGCCCAAGCACTTGGGCCATTTTCTGCTGTTTTTCTCAGGCCATTAGCAGGGAGCTGGGTGGTGTCGCTCCCCCTCTTCGTGGAGGAACGACACAGGACCCTGCGCTGTTCTTTTGTCTGCTCGGCCCTCCCCGGGTTTGCTGCTGGTTCTTCCCGGGTTGGCTACCGACCCTTCCACCTCCGTGGAAGGGCGGTTCCCCCTGCCACTTTTCCCCACTTCCGCGGGGGAGCAGCACACCGCCGGCCGGCTCTCTCGGGGGCTGCACAGGTGTTCCTTCAGATAGATGTTCCCCTTAGATGTTCCTGGTGTATGTTGTCTCTCTCCTCCTTTATAGTCCTCTTCCGCCAATCCCAACTCTGCTACCCACACGCCGAGTACGCTGCTCTCCTCCAATCAGGAGCAGGTCCTACAGTTTATTGGTTGAACTGGAGGCAGCTGTGTAGAAGCTGTTACTCCCTTCTCAGCGCCATATTGTGGGAGCGCAGATGCATAGAATAAATCTTAATTCCAGTAACTTAGTCTAGTCCGAGTTGCTCCCCACAGGGTGGGAAGTGGAGGAGCCAGGACACAAAACAGGCGTCCACAGGGGATGCTGGTGTCACAGGCAGAGGCTTAACCCACTACGCCACAGTGCTGGCCACAGTCACTCTGCCTTTCAAATAAATAAAACACATCTTTTTCAAAAATTTAAAATGCAAACATGAAGTGGAAAATAGTAGATAAAGAGGTTAAAGTTTTGGTGGTCTTTAAACTAAATATAGAGGTTTTTTTTTTTTAAGCTTGTTTTACTAAGCAGTCTAGCACAGCAATAAAAAATAGACTTGAGTAGGATTAGCGTTACAGTAAATTTTCAAAATGCTATTTTGCAACCAGTGATTTTTCCTCTTTTGAAAAAAAGAAGTCTCTCTTGATCAAACACTATAGAGATTCCCTTTTTTTTTTTTTTTTTTTTTTTTTTTTTTGACAGGCAGAGTAGACAGTGAGAGAGAGAGACAGAGAGAAAGGTCTTCCTTTTGCCGTTGGTTCACCCCCCAATGGCCGCTGCGGCCGGCACATCACACTGATCCGAAGCCAGGAGCCAGGTGCTTCTCCTGGTCTCTCATGCGGGTGCAGGGCCCAAGGACCTGGGCCATCCTCCACTGCCTTCCCAGGCCACAGCAGAGAGCTGGACTGGAAGGGGAGCAACCGGGACTAGAACCTGGTGTGCGGGCGCCACAAGGCGGAGGATTAGCCTAGTGAGCCAGGGCACCGGCAGAGATTCTCTTTTCAACAACTAGATTTGGTGGGCAGGGCAGTGGGTAAATGAGTATCTTCTGAGTATCTGGAATGGAATGAGTAGAATTTGTCACCCCAAAACTCAGGCAGCTATTTAAACCCATGTCTTCATGTTAAAGGTTGACTGATGAAGGGTGGAAACGTGATCTGATGCTGGTGTCTGAGTGGAGCCTGTGTGAAGTCTGAGTCACTGGGGCATGAGGGTGGTTCTCAGGAGAGAAAACTCAAGCTCAGCCTAGGCTCTCTCTGCTTGCTGCCTCCACCAAACGCCAGGCTGTGGGACTGCCTGACCCTGTAACATTCAACTCAGAGCTGAAAGACACCTGTTCTTTCCTAAGGAACCTCCTCTTGGGCATTTTGGTTAAAGTAATGGAAACATCACTTGTACAGTAATTTTACTGAGAACCTGGTAAGAGAGTTGAAAAAATAATAAAGCAACACATTCAAAATCAGGAAAGATGACATTGTTGAGTAGTTTGAATTTTTGAAGTTCTAGAGTTATATCTCCCTTAATAAAGCTGAAGGCAAAATCCAGAATGAACAAGGAACATAATTATAAATTAAAAGGGAGAAAGCTTTTAATATATATATATATCAAAGGTTCTCAAATCAGTCTATATTGAGCAATCATGGGATTTAAGATACTCTCCAAGTAAGTCACAAAAAGTAAAGTTTGGGTCGAAATTAACTTAGTGGGGCCAGCACTGCAGCACAGCAGGTTAAAGCCCTGGCCTGAAGAGCCGGCATCCCATATGGGCACAGGTTCTAGTCCCGACTGCTCCTTTTCCAATCCAGCTCTCTGCTATGGCCTGGGAAAGCAGTAGAAGATGGCCCAAGTCCTTGGGCCCCTACACCCACTTGGGAGACCCAGAAGAAGCTCCTGGTTCCTGACTTCAGATTGGCTCGGCTTCGGCTGTTGCAGCCATCTAGGGAATGAACCAGTGGATGAAAGACTTCTCTCTCTGTCCTTACCTCTCTCTCTGTAAATCTGTCTTTCAAAATAAATTAGAAATTAAAAAATCTTTAAAAAATTAATGTTGTACACCATGGTATTAGTAAAAATTGAATGTCTTCAAATACAAAATCACCTTGAGGTATTTAAAAGGAAACACTATGGAAACGAGTGTGTTCCAACAGACAATACTGCACTTTACATTAAAAGATGAGGTTCTAGAAAATTTGCTTATATCATGAGTCACAGAATTACATTAATTGTAACTGACTTCCATTTTTCTTTTCTATAAACTTAAGATATTATCCATATAGAGATGTCACAGAAGTTATAAAATATTTCCTGACTGCTTTTTTAAAAATCATGTCAATTCTTTGTTTCCTTTAGCAAAATAAAAATAGAAATACAGTTACCTTTCCTTATCTTTTGTGTTTCTAAAGCTGCTTTCCTCCAACTACTCTCAAAAATAAAACAACTGTCAAGGGAACCTCTGATGACTTTAGAAGCATTGAATTTGATTTCAGGAGATAGCACGGACATTTTTTTGTCTTCTTTCAACGTTGTTGATGAAACGGAGATACTGCTCCAGGTAAAGAACACAAAATACAAAGGAAACAGATATTGCAGAGGTGAGTATTTTTTCTAATTTGGTCTCCGTCACGTAGATTCAATATTCACAGAGATTTAAATGAAAAGTTAAAGCAAGACACGTTTAGGGATAAAGCAAAAATATGTAGCTGGAATTGTCTTCTTTTAAATTTTAAATATCTAAATGAATTCTTTCAAATTCCACATTACAAATATTTGGCAGTATAAATATGTATATTCCAATAGCAAGTCATATCTACAAGACCAGAAAATACTTAAGATTATCCCCAAAATATTACTATTATAAAATACATATGCACCTAAAAAACTCTATGCTCCAAGAATAATAAACATTTTCTCAATATAGTCATTACTTTTATTCTAAACACAGACACAGAAAAATAACCAGTTATTCCACTTATTTAATATAGTAAACATATATTCAATTCAGTCATGTATATGAAGTGCTTATTATGTGCAAGGCATTCCTGAGGTCCAAACACAGTATAACCATGAGCAAGACACCGGCCCCTACCCTCATGAGTCCCAGTGGAAGAGTGAAGCATGACAACCACCACTAGAGTTATAACTTACTCAGTGCATGTTGTTCCAGGCTCCTTGCTAGGAATTCTATCTCCATTTTATCCAATTTTCTCAATAAAAGGATCAGAGATAGCCAGATTCAATTATGTTCATTCATTTGTACAAAATAAATAAATTACATACATCTACCAATGGCTGATTCTATGCCAAGACCTGCACAAGGCACTGGAGAAACATGATAAACAAAACAGTCCCTGCCCTTAAGAAGCTTACAGCTCAGTAAAGGAATTACAAAGAAATGGATGATACAGTGTAGTAAGTACATGATGGGGAGGAGATACAGAGTGCTATGGGTATACTTTGGAGGGAACCCTAACCCAGTCATGGGCACTTGGGAAGCCTTTATGAAAGCAGCTAACAAAGCAAAGGCATGGATGATTCCTATAGAAGATGGTTCCTGCAGCATGTAAAAAGACCTTGTGATGAGAGACAACACAGTTCAAGAGTATAGTTTATGCAATGAGATAGCACTCCAATCCCATGAGATTGGTTATTCTCAAAAACACACAAAAGGCTGGCGTCGAGGCTCACTTGGCTAATCCTCCGCCTGCAGCGCCGGCACCCCTGGTTCTAGTCCCACTTGCGGCCCCGGATTCTGTCCCGGTTGCCCCTTTTCCAGGCCAGCTCTCTGCTGTGGCCCAGGAGTGCAGTGGAGGATGGCCCAAGTGCTTGGGCCCTGCACCCCATGGGAGACCAGGAGGAAGCACCTGGCTCCTAGCTTCGGATCAGTGCAGCACCGGTCATGGCGGCCATTTAGGGGGTGAACCAGCAGAAGGAGGACCTTTCTCTCTGTCTCTCTCTCTCTCTCTCTCTCACTGTCTAACTCTGCCTGTCAAACACACACACACACACACACACACACAATATAACAAATGTTGGGGCCAGTGCTGCAGCACAGTGGGTTAAGCTTGCTGCCTGCAATGCTGCCATTCTATATGGGCACCGGTTGGAGTCCCAGCTGCTCCACTTCCAATCCAGCTCCCTGCTAATACACCTGGAAGGCAGTGAAAGATGGCCCAAATTCTTGGACCCCTGCCAGTCACAAGACCCAGATGAAGCTACCAGACCCTGGCTTCAGCCAGACCCAGCCCCTCCCATGTAGCCATCTGGGGAGTGAACCAGCAAATGGAAGAGCTCCCTCTCTGCCTCTCCTTCTTTCTCTCTATAACTCCTTCAAGTTAATTAATTAATTTTGAATTAAAAAAAAGTGTTGATGAAGATATGAAGAAAAGGGAACATTTGCACCTATTGGTGGGAATGTAAATTAGTAAGCCATTCTGGAAAACTGTATGTAATTTCCTCATAAAACTAAGAATATGAGTCCAGCATTGTGACCTATTGGGTTAAGCTGCTGCCTACAGAGCTGGCAGTCCATATGGGCACCAGTTGGAGTCCCAGCTGCTCCACTTCTGATCCAGCTCTCTGCTGATGTGCCTGGGAAAGCAGCAGAAGATGGCCTTAGGGAACAAGAAGAAGTTTCTGGCTCCTGGCTTTGGCCCCAGTCAATGTGGCCATTTGGGAAGTGATCCAGTGGATAGAAGACCTCTTTCTCCCCATCTCTACTCTCTCTGTAACTCTGCCTTTCAAATCAACAAAATAAATTGTTATAAAAAAGTTCTGGGGTTCTGTTGCATAGAAGGAAGACTACAGATAATGTCTATGTACTATATTATCTACTTTTTAAAAAAATAGCAGAGAGGATTTGGGATGTTTTCACCATAAAGAAATGCAAAATATATGAGGAGTTAGATAGTTTCTCTGATTGGACATTACCCAATGTATACATGTATCAAAACATCACAGAGGGGCCGGCTTTGTGGTGGAGAGGGTAAAGCATCCGCTTGCAATGCTGCCATCCTTTGTGGGCACCAGTTTGATTCCTAACTGCTGCACTTCCAATCCAACTGCCTGCTAATGGCCTGGGAAAGCATCAGAGGATAGGCCAAGTGCTTGAATCAGCAAATGGAAGATCTCTCTCTCTCTCTCTCTCTCTCTGTAACTTTCAAATAAATAAATAAATATTTAAAAGTCATAATACAGTTTTTTCCAAGATTTATATATTTATTTATTCATTTAAAAGTCAGAGACAGAGCGAGAGCACATGTGTGCAAGAGAGAGAGAGAGATCTTCCATCTGCTAGTTCACTCCCCAGATGCCCACAACAGCCAGGGCTGGGCTGGGCCAAAGCCAGGAGCCAGGAGCTTCAATCAGATCTCCCATGACAGTGGCAGAGACCTAAGCACTTGGGCCATCTTCTGCTGCTTTTTTCAGGCCATTAGCAGGGAGCTGCATGGGAAGTGGAGTGGCTGAAACACGGACCAGCGCCCATAGGAGATGTCAGCATCGCAGGTGACAGCTTTACTCACTACAACACAACACTGGCTCCCATGCCACTTCTTTTTTAAAGACTATTCAGTATAACTGGAGAGAGGAGAAAACAAGAGAAGAGACAGGGAAGAAGGAGCGAAAGGGGAAAAGGAGGACGCGGGGACGTGGGAGGGAGAGGGAAGATGAAAGGAGGGAGAGTGGTGAGGAGTCGTCTCCAAGGAAAGCTACTCCTGAAGACCCAGCTGCATCCAATCCTGGAGAGGTCAGTTACTGAGACAGGAGAAAACGAGCTAAGAAGGGAGTTCAAACGTTCCCAACACAGAGACGCTAATTATTGTGATTTGATCATTACATGTTATTTGTACGTATCCAAGTATCACACTGTACCCCATAAATATGGGCAATTGTTATGTGTCAACTGAACGTGTTAAATAAATACATAAATGAAGGGAAGTCTGGATCTGCTGATGAGATCTTTGTTCTGCTCAACATGGAAGGGTTGGCAGTTAGAGGCGAGGGTGGAGACCAGGCGGTAATGGGCTACAGAGTGTGGGTGAAGTGCAGCAGAATGCAGTCAGGGATGACACAGGGAAGGGGAGACCAAAATCAGCAGGGTACCAGGGACCCGTGCGGCTTCTCCGCCGTGCCCGGCCTCACCCGCTGGCCCTGGCCCGAGCTTCCTTGCCTGCAGCAAGTGTCAGAGGCTTATTCTCCAATGCTGCCACGGCCTCTCTCCTCTTGGAGCTGATCTTCCTTCCCAGCAACAAAGAAAGAGAGGCTCATCCTTTCTTTGATGTTCTTGAGGACGGGCTCTTAAGCTCTTCTGATTTCATAGAATTTGTTGCGAAAGACTTGAGAAAACAAACAAGACAATCAGAAGGGTGACAACAGTCACGAAAATGACTTCAAAACGAAGCTAAAATATGGAATAAATTATAATTTCCAGTCTTAAAGGACTCTTAGAATCAGGAGCCAGCCTCCATGCTAAGCACCTCTCTCTCTCTCTCTCTCTCTTTATTTGATGAGCAATTTTCTTTCAGCATCCAGGCAGCTTCTCCATCTTAGAAACTCCTCTTCCGTGACAGAACAGGGGCTAACAGCAAATGCCTCCTACCCTTCCGGGGACACTTGCATTTCTGAACATTCCCAGACAGGTTTTGTAGCAAAAAAATAGTCTTCTTGAGGTATTTTGTCCTGCCAGCTCAAAAGTAAGCCTTCTTAATACTGGAAGCTTTGTGTGTTTGTTGTTGTTGTTGTTGTTAGAAAGTTCACATGAAAAATACTTGAGATTCAATATACTGTTATCTCTATGCTTTTATGTATGTTTGGAGTGTTCCATAATAAAAAGGCTTTCCTTAAAAAAAAAAAAAAAGCCCACATCTGCAAAACTGCATAACTTAAGGAATGTGCTGAAATAATGAAAAACCAAATGTTTTTGATCTGATGTTTCCCGTAAACATGGTCACTACCTATTACTAAGGGAAAGAGAAAAGTTAAGGATACTTTATAGGAATAATAAAAGGACTATTAAAAAATATGTAGGAAGAGATAATAAAAAGAACAAAGTACATATTTTCTAGGGCAGGCAATAAAGAACTCAAAATACTTTCTCAAATTAACAGTAAAGAGAATCAGAGTTGAGATAAAATAATTGCTGAAAATTAATAGATGTGAAATATTTACTACATTTTCAAGGCATCCCCAAATATAGGTGTATTTAAACATTTTTTGTTTTGAAAATATACCAATTGTTTCTAAAGGAAGATTTTCATTTTATTACCTAGTTCAGAGCTAGAAGGATATGTCAAATATTCATTGATTTGTTATTCACCCATCCACTGTACATTCACTCATTTGTTTCAAAGATTTATTTATTTGAAAGGCAGAGTTACAGAGAGGCAGAGGCAGAGAGAGAGAGAGAGAGAGAGAGAGGTCTTCCATCCGCTGGTTCACTCCCCAGGTGGCCACAAAGGCCAGAGCTGTGCTGTTCCGAAGCCAGGAGCCAGGAGCTTCCTCTGGGTCTCCCACAAGGATGGAGGGGCCCAAGCACTTGGGCCACCT